GAGCCGCCGAGCCGCCGAGCTGCAGTTGCTGCCGAGCCGCCGAACCACCGAGCCGCCCGAGCCGCCCTGTCCAGTAAGAGCGGCACCTCTACTAGAGGCGCTGCCCTTAGCCTACTGCTCGCCCTACTAGTCTACTGCTGTCATGGCTACCCCCAGCGTCCTCGCTTTTGACCCTGAGGGTCGGGCCATTGACTTTGACGTCTGGGTAGATGACCTGCAGCTTTTCCTACAGTGCGATTGGGCAGACGGTCTCTCCCTCTTTGACCTCACTTCTGGTGCCTCTCCTGCCCCTGCTGCTGATGCTGACGCCACTGTTCCCTCACAGTGGGCCACACGCGATGCTGCTGCACGTCTTGCTGTGCGTCGCCACTTGCCTACAGGGGGTCCAGTCCTTGCGCACTCCTTTACGGTCCTGCCGTGTCCGGCGGTCCCGTCGCTCCCTGTCAGGTCTTCACCTCCCCTCGTTCTCTACGAACTTGGTGAGTGGTGCTGACCTCCAGGACCAGTGGGTTGACCAGTTCACTCCTGGAGGTCAGCGCGTGACCCACTGTACGTGCTCCCGGACGGGCCGGCACCTGGCCACGTTTACCCGTGCGCCTGGCTCGAGTTTGTACACACTGACTACTGTGTCCTCTCAGGTCGCTGCGTCTACGTCTGCATCAGGTCAGCTAGCGGCCCCTTGCTCGTGTCGCGCTTTGTCGCACCAGACTCTCCTTTGGCACCACCGTCTTGGTCACCCCTCGGTGCAGCGCCTTTGTAGCATGCACCGCCGTGTCCTTGTCTCTGGTCTTCCCAGGGTTCTCCCTCCCCTCCCAACCTCGCCTACTCCTCCCTATCTTCCCTGTGTCAAGGGGCGGCAGCACGCCGCTCCTCACTCCTCCTCGTTCCCTCCCACAGAGGCTCCCTGCAGACTCTCCACGTGGACGTGTGGGGCCCAGCCCGCGTCCGTGGACAGGGCCACGAGCGGTACTTCCTGCTGGTCGTCGACGACTACACGCGTTACACCACGGTCTTCCCCTTGCAGTGCAAGGGGGAGGTCCCTGATGTTTTGATCCCTTGGATCCGCGTTGTTCGTCTCCAGCTCCGCGAGCAGTTCGGGACGGACTTTCTGGTCTTGCGTCTACACTCTGACAGAGGTGGTGAGTTCTCCTCAGACCTCTTGGCAGCCTTCTGTGCGGAGCACGGCATCCGCCAGACGTTCACGCTTCCGGCCTCTCCGCAGCAGAATGGGGTTGCTGAACGCCGCATTGGCTTAGTCATGGAGGTCGCTCGTACCTCCATGATCCATGCGGATGCCCCCCATTTTCTGTGGTCGTTTGCGGTCCGGTACGCCGCGCATCAGCTCAACCTCTGGCCCCGTGTCTCCTTGCCGGAGACCTCGCCCGCACTGCTGTGGACGGGGAAGGTTGGCGATGCGTCGCGTTTCCGGGTCTGGGATGCTCGTGCCTTTGTCCGCGATACCACTGCGGAGAAGCTCTCCGCCCGCGCTGTTCCCTGTGTCTTCCTTGGCTTTGTCCCTGATGCGTCTGGTTGGCAGTTTTACCACCCCACCTCGCGCCATGTCTTCCCCTCTCTGGACGTCACGTTCGACGAGTCGGTTCCCTTTTACCGTCTCTTCCCCTACCGCACTGCTCCTCTCCCACCCCCGCCGCTCTTCCTCGCTCTAGGTGCTCCCTAGGTAGACCCCCTCCCCGCTCCTGGTCCTGCTCCTTCAGGTGTGTCTCAGGTAGACCCTCCTCTGACTGCGCCGGTTGAGGTCACTGGTGACTCAGGTCCTGCTAAGAGTGGTCCTGCTCGGGGTGCTGCTTCTGGGGGTGCTGAGCCAGGGGGTGCGGAGCCTGGAGGTGCGGAGCCTGGGGGTGCTGAGCCTGAGGGTGCGGAGCCTGGAGGTGCTGAGCCTGAGTGTGAGGAGTCAAGGGGTGCTGCACCTGCGGGAGCTGAGGCGTCTGGTGAGCAGTCTCCTTGGAGCGGCCGTCTCCGTAGTCGCTCCGCTGGTGCCTCGCCGCTCCACTCTCGTCCCCGACTCCCTCTCTCCCCACAGCAGCTGCGTGAGTGGTATGTTGGCCGTCAGGGTCGCGCTGCTGGAGCTAGGGGCCCTACTGCGGGAGGCACTGGTCCTGGTGACTCTGCTACTAGAGTTGTCTCTGCTGGAGGTTCTGGAGCTGCTGAGGGTGCTGGCGCTGGAGGTTCTGGAGCTGCTGGAGGTGCTGGCGCTGGTGGCCCTGGAGCTGGAGGTTTTGGAGCTGCTGAGGGTGCTGGCGCTGAGGGTTCTAAGTCTGCTGTTGCACGTTCTCCTTGGAGAAGCTGCCTTCGTCCGCGTGTGCCTCTCACCTCACAGCAGCTGCACGACTGGTACGGTCGCCGTCAGGGTCGCGCTTATGGAGCTCGGGGAACTGCCACTGGAGGTACTTCTGCTGACGTCACTGGAGCTGGGAGTGGTCCTCGTCCTGGAGGTGCTGAGCCTGCGGGTGCTGTTGCTGGAGACACTGGGTCTAGGGGTGCTGCTGCTGGAGACACTGAGGCTGTAGACCCTGGGACTGGATGTGCTGGTTTTGGGGGTGCTGCTGCTGGTGGAGCTGGTCCTGGAGGAGCTGGCGTTGAGGATTCTGGAGCTGTTGGAGGTGCTGGAGCTGCTGGGGGTACTGGAGCTGCTAGTGCTGGTGGCACTCCACAGCCCCGCCTGTTCTTTGCTCCTCCGTCTCCGTCGTCCCAGCCACCGCCTGACTTTGTGCTTCGCCAGTTTCTTAGTCTCCCTTCGTCTACTGGTCTTCCGTTACAACCTGGCTCACCACTGCCTGCTCCTTCTCCTTACACTGAGCAGACAGGGAGTCTTACTGAGCATCGTGAGCCTGCGTCGCATCCTATCTCGCCTGTCCGTTCTGGTCATTCCGGTCGTCGTGTCCCTCGTTCGCATCAGCCGGCTGTCTCCAGCACCCACCTCGTCGTCCGTTGTCCTTCCTCTCCTCCGCAGTGTGTTCCCCTGCCGTCTCCTCCTACGTCTTATCCGCCTACCGTTCCTGAGCCTGAGTTTGACCGCACCCGTGCTGCTCACCCTACTGTTACGCATCTCCTAGCCACAGTTGTCACTGACCCGTCGTTTGAGTCTGCTGCTGCGTCTGCCTTAGTCGATGAGCTTGTTGAGTTTGCTACTGCCTGTCGTCTAGACTACACCACTAGTCTGGTTGCTGAGTCTGAGTCTGTCTGTCCTCCGTCCGTCGGGGGTGAGTGTGCTCTTAGCACGGACGTCCTTGAGGACAGGCAGGAGGACCTTGAGTGTCTTGCAGCCGCTGCGCCTCATCTCGTGTCCATGCTGCTTGCCCCTGAGGGAGACCCGGATGCTCCAGACATCCCGACCCCACGCTCTTACGAGAGGCGATCGCGGAAGAGTACTCCTCTCGGTGGCAGACAGCCATGGACGCAGAGATGGCATCCTGGAAGTCCACAAGCACATACGTCGACGAGGTTCCCCCTCCTGGGGCGAACATCGTTAGTGGCATGTGGATTTTGAGGGTGAAGCGGCCGCCAGGTTCTCCGCCTGTCTTCAAGGCTCGTTACGTTGCTGGAAACATTAGTCAGCGGGAGGGAGTCGACTTCTTCCAGACCTTCTCCCCCACCCCAAAGATAACTACTCTTCGGGTGCTGCTGCACGTTGCCGCTCAGCGTGACTACGAGCTTCACTCTCTTGACTTCAGCACAGCCTTCTTACAGGGCAGCCTGCACAAGGAGATCTGGCTGGGCCGCCCACCTGGCTTCATTGGGTCGTTCCCTCCTCGTACCCTGTGGAGCCTCCGGTGGCCAGTCTACGATCTCCGCCACGCGCCGCGTGAGTGGCACGACACAGTGAGGACGACACTTGCGGCTCTTGGGTTTGCTCCGTCGACTGTTGACCCTGTCAGAATATCATAGCTTATGCTTTTGTGTAGGCTGTAGTGGGGTAGCCCATATGGGGTACAACCCAATTAGGGTTAGTACTTGTACCAAACTGTTTCATAGTTCATCCATTCTCGAACACATTTTCTCATTGTATCGAGCAGGTTCCCCCGTGGGAACTGTGCCTAGGGCCCACCACATCGACCTTTTTTTTTCCTGCCCGGAGCGCGCTCCGCCCGAGTCGCACTTCGGGCTCTCACCTCGCCGAGCCGCCCTAGCGGCCCCCCCTTTCCCCTAGCGGCCCCGCCGCACGTCGCCTCGCGGCCCCGCCGCCCTACCTCGCGGCCCCGTCGCCCTACCTCGCAGCCCCGCCGCCCTACCTCGCAGCCCCGCCGCCCTACCTCGCGGCCCCGCCGCCCTACCTCGCGGCCCCGCCGCCCTACCTCACGGCCCCGCCACCCTACCTCGCGGCCCCGCCGCCCTACCTCGCAGCCCCGCCGCCCTACCTCGCGGCCCCGCCGCCCTGCTCAGCGGCCTCGCCGCCCTTCTGCAGCGGCCCCGCCGCCCTACTCCTGCGGACCCGCCGCCCTACTCTTGCGGCCCCGCCGCCCTACTCCTGCGGCCCCGCCGCCCTACTCCTGCGGCCCCGCCGCCCTACTCCTGCGGCCCCGCCGCCCTACTCCTACGCCCCCGCCGCCCTACTCCTGCGGCCCCGCCGCCCTACTCAGCGGCCCCGCCGCCCTACTCCTGCGGCCCCGCCGCCCTACTCCTGCGGCCCCGCCGCCCTCCTCCTACGGCCCCGCCGCCCTACTTCTGCGGCCCCGCCGCCCTACTCAGCGGCCCCGCCACCGTTCACCAGTGGCCCTACCGCCCTACACCGCCCGCGCCGCCTGAGCTGCCAAAACAGCCCGAGCCACCCGAGCCGCCCGAGCCGCCTGAGCCGCCCGAGCCGCCTGATCAGCCGAGTCGCCGGTGCCGCGGAGCCGCGGTCACTACTGAGCCGTCCGAGCAGCCGTGTTGCCGTGTTCCTGCACTACTGAGCTGCCCGACTTGCCCTGTCTGGTGAGACCAGTGCTTCTGTCACTGCACTGCCTCTGTCCTACAGTTGGTCTCGCTAGTCTACTACTGTCATGGCTTCCCCTATTGTTCTCGCTTTTGACGCTGAGGGTCGAGCCATTGACTTTGAGGTTTGGGTAGATGACCTGCAGCTCTTCTTACAGTGCGATAGGGCAGACGGTCTCTCCCTCTTTGACCTCACCTCTGGCGCCTCTCCTGCCGCTGCTGCTGATGCTGACCCCACTGTTCGCTCCCAGTGGGCCATACGGGATGCTGCTGCACGTCTTGCTGTGCGTCGCCACCTCCCTACCTCTGAGCGCGCGCACTTTAGTCAGTACAAGAGTGCTCACACCTTATACGACGCTATAGTTGCGCGCTACTCTTCCCCTGCCACTGCTGCACTGAGCCGCCTCATGCTACCGTACCTCTTTCCTGACCTTGCTGCCTTTCCCACAATCGTTGACCTCGTTACGCACCTCCGCACTAGTGACACTCCCTACCGCGCCGCACTTCCTGCTGAGTTCTGCGCCAAGAATCCCCCCCCCCCATGTACATCACTCTCTATTATATAGTCACTCGCCTCCCTGACTCCCTTCGCGTAGTCACGGACCACTTCCTCTCAGTCTGTCCCACCACTCTCACGGTTGACCTCCTAGAGAAGGCCCTCCTAGCAGCGGAGAAGAGCATAGTCGCTGTAGGAGCCTCTCGTGGTGACCCTCGCACCCCCATCTTTGAGGGGTGTTCCCCTTCCCCCTTGTTGCCCTCTGTCGTCTCTGCTGCTGCGGCCGACCTCGCTGGTCTTGAATCGGTCGGTGCGGCGTCTGCCATTAGCGGGAGACGCCACCCTGGCAAGGGCAAGGGGGGCAAGGGCGCGGGTGGGGCTAGCGGGGGTGGTGGAGGTGGCAATGGGGGCGGTGGGGGGAGTGGGGGTGGCAGTCGGAGTGGTGGCGGGGGTGGAGGTGGCGGTGGCAGCGGCGGAGGCGGAGGCGGCGGTAGCGGTAGCGGTGGGAGCGGAGGCGGCAGTGGCGGCGGAGGTGGAGGCAGCGGTGGTGGAGGAGGTGGAGCTGGTCGGGGTGGTACTTCTCAGCGGAGCGGCACAGGGAGTGGTTAGCGCCAGCAGCAGCAGCGTTCTCGGGACATCCACCCTCCTCAGTAGCTCCGTGAGTGGTACACGCAGCGTCAGCGTGGTGGGGGTTTTGGCCCGTGCACCTACGTCCTCCGCTCCGGCGACCGCGCGGGTGAGCAATGTGGGGGTGCTCACCCCACCCAGCGCTGCTTTGGCCGCCTGACGGACGCTTGGCGTCACCAGTTCCCGGAGGCTAGTGAGATCCCCCACTGGGGAGAGCTGTCTAGGGCAGGCGTAGCTGTCTTTGATCTTGACTTTGATGCTATCCTTGCTGCCATGTATGCTTTGACTATTTGTGATGAGGGGGACTGTTACCGGTGTTTCCCGCCCGACCCGGGCATTGGTACTGCTGCTCTAGGTACTAGTGAGGCTGCTGCTCTAGGTGCCAATGCGTCCGCGCCCTCAGGTGCTGGTGAGTTTGCGCTCTCAGGTACCACGTCGGCTTCGGCCTCCCTCACCTTCACACTTGACTCAGGGGCTTCTCGCTCCTTCTTTCAAGACCGCACCACACTCACGCCGCTTGGTCGGCCGGTTGCAGTCTCCCTGGCAGACCCCTCTGGGGGTTCTGTCCTCTCTCACTTCTCCACTGTCCTCCCGTGTCCGGCTGCCCCCTCTGGCACCTTGTCTGGTCTTTACCTCCCCTCGTTCTCTACGAACTTGGTGAGTGGTGCTGACCTGCAAGATACGGGGGTTCACCAGTTCACTCCGGCGAGTCAGCGGGTGACTGTGAGGATCTGGGATCGAGCTCAGAAAAGATGATTCAAATTGAATTGAATTGAATGTCCACCTGGGTACAACACGAGGCTATATACAGGCTCGACACAAGGCCCCGTAACCAGGTGTTACGCGAAGGTTCCGCGGGTCGCGAAGCGTCCCGAACAGATCCTTACCCAATTCGGTAGAAGGCAATTCGGTGGCAACCGAAAAGCCAGAATTCGGTGCACGCAACCTAGCTCGGTGCTATAACTATAGTAAAATATAGGAAAGCACCTAGCCTAGGAAATCAAGCAATTCATGCATGCATATGATTATCCTATGCTAGAAATAGCATGATAAAGTAGAGGCAAGCAAGCATAGCTGGCATAAGCCATCGTACTCTCACACGTCCCCCCCTCAAAGCTGGGTGGCGTGAGATACACCCTGCTTGACAAGATAGTCCTTGAGAGCACGGCGTGCGTTGCCCATATCAGCTTCTGCAACCCAACTGTCCTCAGTGGGGTCGTATCCCTTCCAGCGTATCAGGAACTCGAGAGTCTTGCCACCGCGGCGCCGATGAGAGAGAACGCGCTCGATCTCGTACTCGGGTTCATCCTGTATGAGAACAGGTGGTGGTGGCGGTAGTTGCCGTCCCTGGAACTGTTGGTTGGGGTCCTTGTAGGGCTTCAGTAGCTGGACATGGAAAGCGTTGTGAAGCTTCCATGTATCTGGTAAGCGCAAGCGGAAAGTAACTGGTGTCACCTGTGCCTCAACGAGAAAAGGACCACAGAAGCGAGGCCGGAGTTTGAATGGGAGGTGAGACAGGTTCAAGTTGCGCGTGTCAAGAAGCACCTGATCTCCGACTGCTACTGAGTGATCACGTCGCTGACGATCGGCATACTGCTTCTGGGAGTTCTGCATCGTGGTGAGACGTCGCTGAGTCTTCTCCCATAGCTGCTGCATGGTGGTGACGAAGTCATGTGCGGCTTGGACGTGTGCCAGTGTAGTTGGCTGCTGTGGTGTGAGTGGTTCCCGTCCGTAACACAGGAAGAAAGGAGTTTTCCCTGTGGCCGCATGTGATGCGTTGTTGTAAGCGAACTCTAGGGTTGGTAACTGTGTGTCCCAGTGGCTGACGTCGTCCTTGCAAGCTGTGCGCAGTAACTGTTCAACCACTTGATTGAGTCGCTCTGTCTGTCCGTCAGTCTGGGGGTGGTATGCTGAAGACATTGCAAGCTTTGTACCCAACAGTCCCATGAGCTCCTTCCAGAACTTACTCGTGAATTTGGGGTCTATGTCTGAGATGAGTGTAGCGGGGATGCCGTGGATGGTGATGATGCGGTCGAAGAAGAGTCGAACAGTTGCTTCAGCTGTAGCTGTGGCGTTGGTCGGTATGAAGTGACCCATTTTGGAGAACTTATCGATCACCACGAGGATGGAATCATGTCCCCGTGAGGTCGAAGGAAGCCCTGTGATGAAGTCAAGGCTAACGACCTGCCATGGCTGCTCCGGTACGGGTAGAGGCTGAAGTAGCCCTGCTTTTTTCTGCTTGCTGCTCTTCATCCGCTGGCACGTGTCGCAAGAGGTGACAAACTGCTGCACGTCTGCTGCCATCCCGGGCCAGTAGTAATACTTCGCTATCCCTGCTAACGTCTTGTTGCTCCCGAAATGTCCCGCGTAAGGTACGTCGTGAAACTCCTCCAATAGGATCTGCCGTAGCGGGGCGTAATTCGGTACCCAAATCTTTCCTTACAGCTAAGTCTTTCTCCCACTGTAATAGCTTCTTGGTCTGTGTTGTAGCAATCTCTGCGTCCACGGAGTACCCATGTTGGAATAGACCCTTGAGCAGAGGGTTCATCCCGTCGAGCTGGATGCCTGCTACATGTCCGGGGCGGCTCAACGCGTCTGCCTTGTTGTGTAGCCCGGGCTTGTAGACGATGTCGTAGTGGAAGTGAGTTTCCAGGAAGTCCACCCACCGCACCTGTCGTCGTGAGAGTGTCGGCTGTGACTTCAGGTATTTGAGACTGCAGTGGTCAGTATAGACTGTAGTCTTGGCTCCCTCTAGGTAACACCTTCACGCCTTGAAGGCTATGACTATCGCTAAGGCTTCCTTGTCGTTAATGGGGTAGTTTAGTTCTGCTCCGTGTAGCTTCTTACTGAGGTAGGCGATGGGCTGCAAACCGCGTCCGTGATCCTGCATCAGTACTGCTCCGACTGCTTGGTCACTAGCGTCTGCTTCCACCACGTAGTCCTTGTCTGGATCTGGCAAGATGAGTACTGGCGCTGTAGTCAGTGCTGTCTGTAGTTGCTCCATGGCTTGCTGATGAAGGGTATCCCATTTGTAGGGCGTATCCTTTTTCAGTAGGTCGGTCAGTGGCGCTGCTATCTTAGCGTACTGCGGCACGAACCTGTTGTAGTAGTTGGCGAAGCCTAGGAACTGCTGTAACTCCTTCACGTTCTCTGGTACTTTCCACTTCTTGACGGCTTCGATCTTCCGTGGGTCCACGTGTACGCCCTCGGCACTCACCATGTGCACGAGAAACTGCACCTTCTTCAGGGCGAAGTCGCTCTTTGACAGCTTCACGTAGAACTTGTTTTTCCGCAGGATCTCGAACACCTTCCGCAGATGCTCCACGTGCTCCTTCATGTTGTTGGAGTAGATGAGAATGTCGTCCAGGTACACCACCACGCATTCGTCTAGCAGGGGTCGTAAGATGTGATTCATCTCCGCCTGAAACGTTGCTGGTGCGTTGCAGAGTCCGAACGGCATCACCAAGTATTCGTAGGAGCCGTATCTGGTACGGAACGCTGTCTTGTGGACGGAGTTATCTGCCATCTTGATCTGCCAGTAGCCCGATCGTAGGTCCAGCTTCGAAAATACTGTTGCTCCACGCAGTTGATCGAGTAGGTCGTCTATGCGCGGTATGGGATATTTGTTTTTGACTGTCTGTTTGTTGAGTGCGCGGTAGTCGATGCACATCCGTAGACTACCGTCTGGTTTTGGAGTGAAGAGAACTGGTGCGCCGTAGGGAGAGGTGGATGGGCGGATCAGTTGTCTGTCCAATAGATACTCTATCTTTTTTTTCATGTCTGTCAGTTCAGTCGGACTCAGTCGGTATGGTGCACGTGAGACGGGTTTCGCACCTGGTTCCCCCACGATCTCGTGCTCGTGGGTGCGTGCTGGAGGTACGCCTGCAGGTAGGTCGTCGGGCATTATATCCTTGTACTGCTCCAAGACCTCTTTCACTGCTGCAGGTAGCTCGGAACTCGGCTTCTCCTCCTCTACTGCTGCCATAACCAGTGCTAGGTAACCCGTGTTACTCTTGTTCACCGTCTGTTCGAACCGTGCCAGTGTCCTTTTAGGTACGTCCCCTGTATCCGTCCTGGTTCGCAGTGCTATCCGCTTCCCATTGTTGTAGATGCACACCTTGCTGTTGACCCAATCGATCTCGGGGTTGAACCGCTTCAGGAAATCTCGCCCCAAGATAAAATCTAATCCTTTGATGTTGGTGACTGGTAGCTTCGGCTTCCACCTCAACGCACCTATATGCAGTTGCAGTGATGCTTCGCCGTGGATAGGAAGCTTCGTACCGTCCACCATGGTTGCTGAAAACTGGGTCTCTTCCGCCTTCTCTCCAATTTTCTCCAATGCTCCGCGATCATACACCGAGTGAGATGCACCGCTGTCCACCAATGCGTGGAGGCGTCGCCCATTGCATAACACCTCGAGGAGTAGTGGTTTCTGCTGTGCTGAGTAGCCAAAGAGGGTCTCGTTAACAGGATCATAGGGTACATCAAACTTAATACCTTCCCTTTTTCCTATACCTGACTCAGCGCTTTCCAACTTCACCTGGGGGGTAGGAGGATTTTTCCGAGGCTTGTATAATTTTTCCTGAGCCTGGATGTCTCCTCTAAGCCTTGGCAGCTGTGTAGGCTTCACCTGTGGGCGACGGGGAGCCTTAACACTGTGTTGCGGGGAGAGAATATCAACTCCACGGAACGCACGACCCTTTTCTACGCTCCGTAGTACTTTGCCCAACTTCTCAGGTACCTGAATAATTTCTAAAGGCTTTTTCTTGGCCTCTAAACCTCCCCTGAATTCTTTGAAGGCTTGTAAACCACGAGAAGCAATATTTTTCGTTAGAGCATCTTTATAGGATACTTTTAGCGAATTCTTACTTTCGTGGGTGTTCGGCTGGAGTATCCCGGTCGGTGCAAAGTCTTTTTTCGCGGAGCCTCCATTCGCCTCGGCGATTTCCCCTGATGCCGGCCGGTCGTGACGTTTTAAATTCGCGCCATCATTTTCTCCTTTTTTCACCCGCTCCGAAGTCGCCACGTCGTCGCCTTTTTCTGCTTTACGGATCTTTACTCGATCGCCAGGTCGATCCGCGGCTACTAGCGATTCCCGTTTTTTTACTTCGGGGGTGCTCCACTGTTTCCGTCCCGGAGTGCCGCACGTTCTTTCTTCATTTTGTAGCACGACAAAAACTGATGTCCTGCTGCGCCGCAAAATTCGCATTTTGTCGGCTGCTGCTTCGCGTCGTATTTGTCGATATCCATCGGTTCGGTGAACGTGGGGGGTGCCGATCGCTCCGTGCCGAATGTACGGTTCGGCGTGAAGCGTCGTGTTTTGGGTTGACTTCGAGTCAGCGCGTCGTATCGCTTGGCAGCACGCACGATGTCTCTGTAGCTGTTGTAATTCGCTGCAATCACCTGCCGCCGAGTCTCCATTTTTAATCCTTCGGTGTACGCCTGGATTTTTTCGCCTTCGGTCAGGTCGGTGATGCGGTTGAACAGTAACTCCATCTGCTGCGTGTACTGTGTTACACTACTGTATTGCTTGTGTCGGTGTATCTGCTGCCGCGCCATGTAGGTTGTATTAATTGGTTCGAAACGCTCGATTAAATCTGCCCGAAACTGCTGCCACGTTCTCTCCCCGCGGGCTACGTCGGTGTAGTAAATCCATTCGAGAGCCGGTCCACGTAACAGTATCGCTGTGAGCCGAATCCTTGCTGCGTCGTGTTGCGGGGTCGAACAGCCAATGGCCTCGAAGTAAATTTCGAGGG